TCTGTACAGTAGCACAGAACCCTTTTATTTCAAGGTGAGTCTATGTCCCCATTAGCAATAGCCGAGTACCCCCGCAGCAAAAAGGTAGTTGTAATGGCCGAGCTCCTGTTTTCTAAACAGCTCTGAAATTTCAGTTTGAAAGAAGAACAGGAACTGTCGGGGCAAAATACCAGAGGACTTTTCTTTCCTCCAGTTTCATACTCTTCTCTTTCGGATGTTCCCATCTTGTTACCATGCCATTCTTTCTGCAGATCTTTTTTCACTCCCCTGAGAATTGGTAGCGGGACTTTCCAAGAATCAGGAATGATGAAGCCTCACAGCTGCCAGAGTTTGTATTGAATGTGGGCGAGGCTAATATTCCAGATTCCATGAGACACCAAGCAAAAATCTTTGCTTTACGTCATGGCCACAGCTTTTCTATCCCTCTGCGGACAGAGTAACTTTTTCTTTACAGCTCTGCCCCACCAGATATGCTCAATATGCCACGCTCATTCCCTTTCCGCTTACTCCTATTACAGTGTCTGTCTCTTTGGAGTTTCACTTTCTAATTTATACTTAGCTGCAAAATCTGCACTGAGAGCCGTTAATAATATTGCTGCAGCTGTCTCTTCAATTCTTCCTCCAGCTCTTACACAGGCCTATGGATGGACTTCATAGCCAGCTTGTAAATAGCAGCTTGCCTGGTCAACTGTGGCTGATTCCACACCACTGTTTTTCCTCTGTGTTTGTTCCTGAACTGGAGCTCTGTTTTTCAGAACATCCACATGGCATCCTTTAATCATCCACGTCCTAGTTTTTCCCCATCCTGAGCATGTCTCTCAAACTTGCTTTGATCAAGATGGAAAGCCGTTGTTAGTCTGTCTGTAGCACTAGAAAACTCTAGTAGCTCCTTAAAGACTAAAGTGGAGGCCTTCCCCCAGTGTTGCCTCCTGGCTCTGGGATTCAGAGGATTAGTGCCTCAGAATGTGGAGGTTCCCCTCAGTCACCATGGCTAGCAGCCATTGATAGACTTATCCTCCGTGAATCTATCTAATCCCCTTTTAAAGCTGTTTATTCCAGTGGCCATCACAACATCCCCGGCAGCAAATTCCACATTTTAATCACTCTCTGAGGGCCAGTTTGGTGTAGTCAGTGGTTAGGAGCTTGGACCCTAATCTGGGAGAACCAGGTTTGATTCCCCACTCCTCCACATGCAGCTGCTGGGTGACCTTGGGCAAGCCACAATTCTCAGAGCGATTCTCAAAGAGCTCTCTCAGCCCCACCTACCTCACAGGGTGTCTGTTGTGGGGAAAGGAAGGGAAGGAGATTTTAAGCCGTTCTGAGACTTCGAGTGAAGGCCGGGGTATAAACACAATCTCCTCTTCTCCTAGAGAAGTCTTTCCTTTTGTCTGTCCTGAACCTACTGCCCGTCAGCTTTATTGGATGCCCTCGAGTTCTAGTATTTTGGTAGAAGGAGAAAAAAATTATCTTTGTCAACTCTCTCCACCCCATATGTCATTTTATAAACCTCTAGCATGCCCCCCCCCAGTCAAATGAAGCCTGAACTCTCTCTAGAAGTTAAAATGACTCAACTGAGGCTATCCTACTTTGGTCACATTATGAGGAGACAAGAGTTCCTGGGAAAGAGAATGATGTTAGGGAAAGTTGAAGGCAGCAGGAAAAGAGGAAGACCCAACAGGAGATGGATTAACTCAATCAAGGAAGCCACGGCCCTCAATTTGCAAGGCCTGAGTAGGGCTGTTAGCAAGAGGACATTTTGGAGGCCATTCGTTCATAGGGTCACCATGAGTCAGAAATTACTTGACAGCACTTAACACACACACACACACACAGTCTGAACTATGGCTTCATGGGACATAGGAGTGCAGACAGGATGTGGAATGGTATGGTATCACTCAACCATGTCAGGTCCTGGAAGCTAAGCAGGGCCAGTACTTGGATGGGTAACCACCAAGGAAGACTCTGCAGAGGAAGGCAAAGGAAGGGATGCCGTAAATCAATTGTGACTTGATGGTACACATGTACATATGATTGCAGACATTCTCCTCCAGTTTGGTGTAGTGGTTAAGTACACAGACTCTAATCTGGGAGAACTGGGTTTGATTCCCCACTCCTCCACTTGCACCTGCTGATGTGACCTTGGGTCAGTCACAAGCTCTGGCACAGCTGTCCTTGAAAAAGAGCAGTTTGTGTCAGAGTTCTCTCAGCCCCGCCCACCTCACAGGGCGTCTGTTGTGGGGAGGGGAAGGGAAAGGAGTTTGTAAGCCGCTCTGAGACTCCAAGTGAAGGGCGGGGTATAAATCCAGTCTCCTCCTCCTCTTCTCCTTCTCCTCGGTGCCCTCCTGCTCACAAAGCAGGCTGGGGATTCCAGTTTGGTGTCTGCAAGAAAGAACAAGGGAAAAAACAAAGGCGGTGAAGCCAGCATTTTGTCAAACCAACCCAGGATTTGAACCCGAGCTGGATCCTAGTTGTCTGAGCCAACCTTATTTAAAATAAACCACATACTTGTTTCATCCAGATTGACTCAATGTGTAAGGGACAAAGCAACTTGGGAATCGAGGGGCAAAGGGCCTATAGCATTTTAAAACTGAACTGAATGGTTGATTTGTATAAATCTAAAATGGCGACGAGTCTCCTACCACCAGAAAACACAGACACTGTTGATATAACAAGAAGACTTCTGGGTGTTTGGCTCCTTGGAGCATCCCTCTGTTTCAGCGGCCAAAAGGATAGCAGAGCTTCCCTGCAAGTCCCCAGCCCCCACCCATCTGGCAGAAGAAAAGCGTTACTGGGGTCTCTGCCAACTGAGCTGGATCTATTTTAACCCCCTCCCCGTTCCGTAACTCAGATAAACAAGTCACTGTTTTCATGAAGAAGTCCTGTGTCCAATAAGAACACATCTCCATGCTATGACTACATGAATACCATGACTCATGCGACGTCCTTTTATTCTCACTGTGAACAGAGCCTCTAAAGTTTCTTGATTTCACACTGAAGGATCATTGCAAAATGCTGCTATTCACCAGACTCTTGAACATTTAATGCAATTTACACATTGATCTATGGAGCTGCAGTGGCTCAAGTGGTTAAGACGCTGAACTGCAGGCTGTGGAAGGTCAGTAGTTCAACAGTTCGAGACCCGGGTGCCGCAAGACGGGGTGAACTCCCGTCTATGGCCCCAGCTCCTCCCAACCTAGCAGTTCGAAAGCAAGAAATTGCAAGTAGATAAATAGGTACCGCTTTGGTGGGAAGGTAACAGCGTTCCGTGTGCCTTGGTGTTTAGACATGCCGTCCACATGACCACGGAAACGTCTTCAGACAGCGCTGGCTCTTCGGCTTTGAAACGGAGATGAGCACCGCAACCCTAGAGTCGGATTCGACTGGCTCTCGAGCAAGGGAGACCTTTACCTTTTTTACACATTGATCTAAAATTTAGTACCGTCATCCTTCATAGCAAAATACGATATTCCTCATGCATAAACAAGTCTGGATGTATGTTCGTGTAGCCTGCATTGGTTCTTTGTTCTGAAAACACAGTGCAGGAAAGGGATGGAGACAAGTATAGGGAGGACAGTTGCAGCCCCAGTGTTCCTGTAATGTAAATAAAAAGGAAATATACACACACAGAATTTGCTGCGGGATACTCATGACTGCTGGGCGGATTTTAAGGGCGCGATCAAACAGACACATCTGGCAAGCGTCACGCACCTGTCGCCATCCCGTCTCATCCGGCCGAAGACCTGGAGTTAAAAAGTACCAGCGAAAGTCCACTATCAAGCATTTGCGATGGGCCACAGATGGACTCCCTCCGTCTGATCGCTCCTCTTGCCTCGTTGAAGCATGCCAGGAGCACGTGCCGCTGGAAAAAAACCCAGTTCACTGCCATTGCGTCTGATTGCGTAATGGCAGGTCAACTTGCGATGGCACAAATAGCCACGCCTCTCCCCCCCCCCCCCCGTGCGTTATCTGGCCCGTGTGACCGGGGCACATAGTTTTCATGTGAGAGAGAGAGCACATAGGTGGCACCAACAAGGTACCAAACACAGCCAAATTAGCAAGGAGAATCGCTAGGGCAAGCACAAGAAATTGGTACCGCTCTAAGACCGTAAGTATGACACTTGTCATGTATGAAATTTGCTCCACTTAAGAGTCAGAATCTGGATCCAAGAGCTCTTGGCCACGGGTGCAGGTGAAGAGGGAAAGAGCTGATTTAGGAGCAAATGCAATTCTGGCTCTTTGCTAATCCCAATTAACAAATCAGGGAACTAGATTCTGAGAATCCATTGTGTAGCCCCTGCAGAGCAATTCCCTTTCGAAACCAGTTTGGTTGTGCTGAATTTAACCAGTTAAGATTAACTAGGGTTTCTGCCCATCCAAACCGTGGCTTGAAATAGGCTTTCAACCTAGCCCAGGCAAGCCCAATCTTGTCAGATGTCAGAAGCTAAGCAGGGTTGACCCTGGCAAGTACTTGGCTGGGAGACCCTCCAAGGAATACCAGGGCCGGGACACAGGGGCAGGCACTAGCAAGCCACCTCACTGAAACATCCAAGCCCCACTAGGGGTCCCCAGAAGTCAGCCATGACTTCCAGGCATGCACACACACACATACACAAAAAAATGCTTAAAAAGAGAAGGGGGAAGTAGGCTTTCAGATCTTGGGTTTTAAGAAGAACCGTAGTGAGCCTTAGCCCCGGGCTAACAGTGCTGACCTCCTTGCTTGCAGAAAATTAGTATGTCACTAAACAGAGCTAAACTGAGCTCATCTTTGTATGCTGGCTCTCTATATTGCGGGGTTATAATTTTTTAAACGGCTGAGCAGTAAGGCAGCCTCCCCTGCACACCTAAGCATGCATGCACACACAAACCACAGTCCGGGAAAAGGTTTTCTACATAGTTTTGTTGCATGTGTGAACTGGTTCCACGTTTTCCATCTCTGGGCTGTTTTCCTGTGTGTTTCATGCTGACCATTCAGAGGGGGCATCTCCTGTTTTCTTTCCTAGGGACCCAAATGAGCTGCTTTTCACCAAGTTCATTTTCCTGGCGCCAAGGAGCTTATGTGGACTCGTACTGTTGGGCAGCCGTGCAGCAGAGGCAACTCTCGTGGGGGGATTCCGGACACCTTCCACTCTGGCTTCATAAGGTTTGTAAAGACAGATTTTTTAAAATTATTGTTTTTCTTGAGGGAAATGAAAATTTAACTCAGAAGTCTGAGATGACGACTGTCTTCCATCCTTGTTCTTTGCTTGGCTGCCTTCACATGCATAATGCATGTGGATAATACACTTCTGCAATCGTGTGCAAGTGAAACATGAAAATCCACCTGCAAATAATCACTAAAATGCACTAGAAGTGCATTATACAATGTGCATGAAAGCAGCCCTTGTTTGGTGCTAATACAGGAACCAGTTTGGTGTAGTGGTTAAGAGTGGCAGACTCTACTCTGGAGAACCAGGTTTGATTCCCCACTCCTCCACACAAAGTCAGCTGGGTGACCTTGGGCCAGTCACGGTTTTCTCAGAGCTGTTCTCTCAAGAGCAGTTCTCTCAGAGCTCTCTCAGCCCCACCTACCTCACAGGGTGTCTGTTGTGGGGAGAGGAAGGGAAGGAGATTGTAAGCAGCTCTGAGACTCCAAGTGAAGGGCGAGATATAAATCCAATCTCCTCCTCCTCCTATCTTGTTTGTGTTAGTCAAGATTGGGCTTGTTTGAATCTGCTCGATACTCCACTATTGAAATAAATGTTTGCTTTTTTTAAAACCATCCCCAGCACATTACTCTGCTGTCTTCTCATTTCCCATTTTTTTGAGAGCCACACAAGCAGTAGATCACCACAGGCCAAACTGATGCCATTTTTCCAAGCCACAAAGTGCAGTTTGGTCCTGCAGTACAACTGTTTCTAGTTATATCCTGCAATTGCCCCCTTCCGGTTACAGAAGTCACCCACCTAACCTCCACCATACCTATTAAGCCATATCTTTCTTCTTGCGCTAGGAGCTCAGGATTGCTTTATGTCCCATACTCTGAGCCTTGGTATTGAAAGCTGTGAGTATTATGCTCCAATAACTCCTGCTCTTTTACTCTGTGGTTTTGAGGCACTGCCTCAACTCACCCACTTCCCCCTGTAGCACCCACACTCTTATCTTGCCTACATCTCTCTCCCTCACAGGGTTTAGATTAAACCCCTCTTCGTCGTGTTCACTAATGCCAAACACATTTCCCCTCATACGTGTGAAGTACAGCCTGTACCTTCACTGGTACTTCATTAGTAGTACAGTACTTCATTGAGGAAAGCCAAGCTGTGGTCCCAGAAACCAAACCTCTCTTAACACCTCCATCTGGGTAGCCAGAGATTCGAAGTGTTCTTGACTCTAGCAAAAGCTCTCCACAGGAATGACTAGTAACAATACCACCTGAGCCCTGTGATCCTTCAGCGGCCTTCCCAGAGCCTGCCTCATAGTTTTGATTCACGCACAGCTGTACCAAACAATGCCATTAATTCCCACAAGGATGAATGGGAAGTATAACCAGTGTGCTGCAGACCAACAATGAAAGCGAAGTAAAAATTAAACAGATGGGCAAGGAAAAGCATTCTGGGATTGAAGACCACACGCATTTCTGTTTCAGATACCGAAACAGCGTAGTCTCTGACCAATACAAAACAAAAACACATAGCTCCTCTGGGTTTTCACCAGAGCACAAGCTCTTGAAAAGCAATTTGATTTCCAGGCTACATTGAAGATGCTTCCCACGTACGGTTTCTGTTTCTGGCTTCCTCCCTCAAAGAGAGAGAAGATTTGAGTCCGTGAAAGTGGTTTCAACTGGCCTTTGCTCTTCCGTGGTGCTTCCCCATCAGCAGTGGCTACACAGACGTGCAGCTGCAACCTGACTCATCAAATCTCAACCCATTTGGCAGTGAGATCTCAATATTCATGTCACAGATGCATCATGTTGAGAGGCCAGTTGTTTGCCTCAGAATTTAACAGCACAATTCACTGTTCCTGGGACTGTTGACAGACATGTTCTGGAAGTTCTGGACGTGGAACTTAATTCTCAGACCCATGCAAGCCCAATTCAGATCAGAACTGCAGGCAAAGGAGGCCTCAGCTTTTCCCCCAGCACTATTTTCCTGACCTGAAATGGCTCAGGAGAGCCGCTTGTTACTATCTGAGGTAAACCAAGATGGGTAGCCATGTAAGTCTGTTTATAGCACCAGAAAACAGCAAGAGTCCAGTAGCGCCTTAAAGACTCACAAAATTTGTGGCAGGGTATGAGCTTTTGTGAGTCACTCCCGAAAGCTCATACCCTGCCACAAATTTTGTGAGTCTTTAAGGTGCTACTGGAATCTTGCTGTTTTCTGAGGTAAATTAGGCATACTGGGGACTACATGTAAGCTTCCATAATGGGACAAATAGTGGGACAATTTAGCCATTTCATGTTAGCAGAACAGCACAGGGTGGGGGAACTCTTAGAACATGTCCATTGATAGGACTGACAAATAGCATATCATGTATTTAGTCCCACACATTAACTCTTCTTACAATCCATATGAGTGTCCCACCATGTTATTCACTGGGTCTGACTCCCAGGAAAGTGCCCTTGGGATTGTAGCCACTCAAACACACACAATATGGCAGGGTTGAAATAACTCCCATGGGAGAAATACCACATAGAAGATGCTGTTCTAGCATTGTGTCTTTTCAGTGCTGGTGCAACATTGGCTGGATGTTTCTCAGAACCTTGGCAGTGGGTCGTACTTAAGAAGTCCTTTTCAAAATTCCATTGACATCCAGTTGAGTGGTTAAAAGGTACATCAGATGCTTACTAAGGGGTACGCTAGCCGTGTTAGTCTTTCATAGCAAAATAAGGTGAAACTCTATTGGCACTTGTTGGGTGTTACAAGTCAAAACACTTCAGTATTTACAGGGTTAACGATGTTTGTTAAGTCATATGTTTGTTTGTTTGTAACCAGTCTGTTTAGACAATGGAATGCCCGGGAACTTTGGAGCTAATTTGCTAGTCTGATTGGAAACCAAGGTGTCAAGTATTTAGCATATTGGCTTCCCCTCCCGTTTTTTGTTCTGACTGAGAAATATACGCCATTTCTGCTCTTCCCGTTTTTACCTTTTAGCTGTAAGGATGTAGCCATATTAGCTCTTTGTTATTTTATATCCTGTGTACCTTTTTCCCATGTTAGGTTTATAGTAAAATTTTATATTTTAATACACACCATGGACTCAGTCTCTTAATACTCTGCTGACTTACTCAAAAAGAATCCCAACAGCACTAGCAACTTAAAGCCTAACATTTATTTCAGTAATAGCTTTTGTGAGTCACAGCCCATATGTCTCTCTGTTGAAGTGGGATATGACTCACAAAAGCTCATATTGAAGTAAATGTTCTTAGGATTTAAGGCACCACTGGATTTCAGTTTATATTTTACATCGTATGCTAACGTCTCCAATTTACTGGGTTTAAATGACCTTCAAAGGGCAAACTGAAAAGCCCTAGATCATTTTTTGACGTGCTACTAAAAGCATTTGTTTTTGCATTTTCTAATTTATAATGCGAACATTAAACCTACATGAGCTAGAACTAGTGATGCCAGTGTCCAGGTGGGACCTGTGGATCCCCTAGAATTATAGCTTGTCTCCAGACTAGGGAGATCAGTTTCCTGGAGAAAATGGAGGCTTTGGAGGGTGGACTCTGTGGCATTGTACCCCCACTCTAGGTCCCTGTCCTCCCCAGGCTCCACCCCCAAATCCACCCACAAAGAGAGGGGAAGAAAAACTACACCAACCAAGCAAAAACCTCCAAATTAAGTTTAGAAAACTAGTAAAGGTCCAAAAATAAAAAATAAGAGGTATAGACAAAAATACAAAGTTTTTATATGCTTTAATCAAGAAGAAGAAGAAGAGAAGAGATTGGATTTATACCCCGCCCTTCACTTGGAGTCTCAGAGCGGCTTACAAACTCCTTTCCCTTCCCTTCCCCTCCCCACAACAGACACCCTGTGAGGTGGGTGGGGCTGAGAGAACTCTGACACAAACTGCTCTTTTTCAAGGACAGCTGTGCCAGAGCTTGTGACTGACCCAAGGTCACATCAGCAGGTGCAAGTGGAGGAGTGGGGACTCAAACCCGGTTCTCCCAGATTAGAGTCCACGCACTTAACCACTACACCAAACTGGCTCAAGGTTTTTATATTTTTCTAAATAAACACATGTACTTTTGTCTATACCTATTGATGTTTTTAACTTTTGGCCCTTTAATAGTGTTCTAAACTTCCTTTGGCGGTTTCCACCCCCAAATCTCCAGGAGTTTCCCAACCTAGATCTGTCAACCCTACCCCCCCATCCCCTGCTGGTGATGTGGGGGAGGGACCCGGCAATCGTTGCTGGAGCATGTGTTGAATTTGTAAGATGCTGTATCAGATGTAGGGTTTTTCTCTCTCTGCTTGACCATGACTGCAGATGGATTCTAAATCGGAGCTCATTTTCTACCCTGATTTTTTTTCCCTTCCCCCAGTTTTTTCCATACATCCTTCTGCTCCTTGCAGTCTTACTGTACCTGCCCTATCTCTTCTGGCGCTTTACCGCCGCGCCCCACCTTTTCTCCGACCTGAAGTTTATTATGGAAGAACTCGACAGAGCCTACAACAGAGCGATCAAAGCCGCTAACAGCTGCCATAACGGGGAGCCAAGGGATCACTCCAGCTCATCACCTGTTATTCTTGAGAACACCGGTCAGAGGTAACAGGACCCCTCTTGCTCTATCTCGGTATTTGTGTTGTTGTTTTTTTACTTTAACAGACTTTGGGGTGTGTGGAAATACTGCTCAGTTCCAGACTACAAAATAAGTTTAAAAATGATGGACAGAGAGCCACTGAGAGGCGTGCAAAGCCCTCCACCCCCATTTCCTAATTTACCATGAGACAAGTAAGAGTAAGCTCTGGGGGTTTTCAAATGACATGAAGCTGCCTTATACTAAATCAGACCATTGGTCCATCAAGGTCAGAATTGTCTGATCAAACTGGCAGCAGCTCTCCAGGGCCTTTCTCATCACCTACTACCTGATCTTTTCAACTGGAGATGCTGGGGATTGAACCCGAGACCTTCTGCATGCCAAGCAGATGCTCTACCTCTGAGCTACGGCCCTTCCTCAGAACTGTTTTCTGGCTTTCTGTGTGTTTTGTATGGCTTGTAAGCAAATACAATCCTTCTATAATTCCTCTGGATATTCTCTCTTTTTTCAGTTTGTGGGAGATATCTGAAAGCTACTTTAAGTACCCCATGGTGGAACAGTACCTGAAGACAAAGAAGAGGTCCAAGCACTTGTTAATCAAGTACATCGTTTGCCGAGTCCTAACGCTGATGATTATTCTGCTGGCCTGCATCTATCTGGGCTATTACATCAGTCTTTCCTCTATGACCGATGAGTTCATCTGCAACCTCAAAACCGGGATCCTGAAGAACGACACGTCCGTTCCGGAGCGGGTCCAGTGCAAACTGATCGCGGTCGGTGTCTTTCAGCTGCTCAGTTACATCAATTTAGTTGTGTACGTGCTGTTGGTACCCGTCGTGCTTTATGCCTTGTTGGTCCCGTTCAGGCAGAGTTCAGACATCCTGCAGTTATATGAAATCCTGCCCACCTTTGATGTCCTCAAGGTCAAAACAAAACACTACGACGACCTGAGCCTTTACCTGCTCTTCCTCGAGGAAAACGTGAGCGAGCTTAAATCTTACAAGTGCCTCAAAGTTTTGGAGAGTCTGAAAGGCAACGGAGAAAAGTTTGACGCGATGCAACTCCTGATGAATCTCGGCATGATTAAAACAGACATGGTAGACGGGAAGTCGGCGGTCATCAAAGACGACTGTGGGAAGAAGGTTGATGGAGAACCCACAAAGAGCACAGCGGAATTAAAGGGTAAAGCTGTTTTTGCTTGTGTAAGTAAAGGTAAAGGTTCCCTTGCTCGAAAGCCAGTCTAGTCCGACTCTAGGGTTGCGGTGCTCATCTCTGTTTCAAAGCCGAAGAGCCAGCGCTGTCCGAAGACGTTTCCGTGGTCATGTGGCCGGCATGACTAAACCCCAAGGCGCACGGAACGCTGTTACCTTCCCACCGAAGTGTTACCTATTTATCTACTTGCAATTTCTTGCTTTCGAACTGCTAGGTTGGCAGGAGCTGGAACTAGAGACGGGAGCTCACTCCGTCATGCGGCACACTCGGGTCTCGAACTGCTGAACTACTGACCTTCCACAGCCTGCAGTTCAGGGGTGGAGAGATTAAAGAAAGGTCAGGGCTCTTTAGCTTGGAGGAACGATGACTGAGGGGTGACATGATAGAGGTTTACAAAATTATGCATGGGATAGAGAAAGTAGAGAAACAAAGATGTACTTTCCTCCCTTTCTCACAATACAAGAACTCCTGGGCACTTGATGAAATTAATGAGCAGAAGGTTTAGAACAGCTCAAAGGTTTAGAACAGCTCAAAGGAAGTACTTCTTCACCCAAAGAGTGACGAACATGCAGCATTCCCTGCCACAGGAAGTGGTGTCAGCTACAAGCATAGACATTTTCAAGAGGGGGTTAGATAAACATATGCAGCAGAGGTCCATCAGTGGCTATTAGCCACAGGGTACAGAAGGAACACTATGTTTGGGGGAGTGATGCTCTGTATTCTCAGTGCTTGGGGGGGCAACATTGGGAGGGCTTCTTAGTCCTGGCCCCGCTGGTGGACCTCCTGATGGCTCCTGGGTTTTGGCCACTGTGTGACACAGAGTGTTGGACTGGATGGGTCATCGGCCTGATCCAGCATAGCTTCTCTTATGCTTGGCATGCAGAAGATCCCGAGTTCCATCCCTGGCATCTCCAGTTAAAGCAATGAAGTAGTAGGTGATGGGAAGTACCTCTGCCTAAGACCCTGGAGAGCTACTGCCAGTGAGAGTAGATAGTACTGACCAATGCTCTGACTCCGTATCAGGCAGCTTCATGAGTTCATTATCAAGGGAAGGGGCTGTGGCTCAGTGGTAGAGCACCTGCTTTGCATGCCGAAGGTCCTAGGTTCAATCCCCAGCACCGCCCATTGAAAGGACCAGGTGATGAGAATGACCTCTGTGTGAAAGCCTGGAGAGCTACTGCCGGTCCGAACCAGTGGCCTGACGCAGTATAAGGCAGCTTCATGTGTTCCTACCCGGGACCAGGCAAGTATATGAACTACATTTGCCTGATCCCCCGCATGGTTCTTGGAAGCAGGCCTCATTCAGTCCAGTGGAAATTACTCCCATGTAGTTCTGCAAGATAATGCATCCTTAAATTAAGTGACTCTGAAATGGAATACTATGGCCTTCCAGACAGGCCTCGCATACGTTGTTCTTTCCTTTGCTTTGACCATTGTAGGTATTCCTACAACTACCATAGGTTCTGTGGTCATTTTCACATGATGTTTAGAACCAGTGTGGGATAGTGTTTACTGTGTTGGACTAGGACTGAAGAGCGCTGAATTCAAAAACCCATTTGGTCATGGGCCTCATTGGGTAACCTTGGGCCAGTCACTGTTGTATCTTCATCTTACCTTATGGGGTTAGTGTAAGGATAAAATGGAGGACAGAGAATCAACATACCTTGCCTTGAGCTCACTGAAATACAAGCCAGACACACATAGCATGGTGTAGTGGTTAAGAGTGGTGGACTCTAACTTGGAGAACCGGGTTTGATTTCGAACTCCTCTCCATGAGGCCTGCTGGATGAACTTTGGCCAGTCACAGTCCTCTCAGAACTCTCTCAGTACCACCTACCTCACAAGGTGCCTGTTGCGGGGAGAGGAAGGGAAAAGCAATTGTAAGCTACTTTGAGACTCCTTAGGGTGGAGAAAAAAAGGTAAAGGTTTCCCTTGCTCGAAAGCCAGTCGAATCCGACTCTAGGGCGCAGTGCTCATCTCCATTTCCATGGTCATGTGGCCGGCATGACTAGATGCCAAGGTGCACGGAACGCTGTTACCTTCCCACCAAAGCGGTACCTATTTATCTACTTGCAATTTCTTGCTTTCAAACTGCTAGGTTGGCAGAAGCTGGGGCCAGAGATGGGAGCTCACGCCATCATGTGGCACTCAGGTCTCAAACTGCTAACTACCAACCTTCCGGTCTGCAGTTCAGCATCATAACCACTGAGCCACCGCAGGCCCTTATAGGGTAGAGAAAAGCAGGGTGTAAAAACCAACTCTTCTCTTCTTCTTCTACATAATATATAGCCGTCCTGAGCCTTCCTCGGCAGGGGGGGGGGATAAATCAAATAAATAAATATAGATTTACAGAAACAGCAGTGATATATATATATATATATATATATATATGTTGTATTTAGTCCTTTTGTCTATGCAGTGATCAGTTCGCTCAGTCATTACGATTTTAGTGATCTAGCCATGTGTGTGGGGGGGTCACGCTAAGTACGATCTTTTTAGTATGTGCAGTTGCCATTTTGTGTGAATAAGGTATGTTTTCCAGCATTGGTGTGCTTGATCATAAACCCAGATTTTGGAGGGGACGCATCTGCATGTACCAAAGCTGGAAACTATATGTGTTGCCCTAGTCACACAAAACAGGGACTACGTGTATTGGGTGGTGCACTCTTCCATTATGCGAGGCTTATTTTATTTACTGGAGTTTGAGAATGCTATTGGAGTTTCCTTTTGTAATCTCTTGTCTGTTCTCAGATTTGGCTCCACCGACATCAACGGGGGAGGGAGGAAAAACAAGTAAAGAAGATGGCAAGGTTCGTCAGAGGCTTCTGGATTCTTCTTGCTGATGGCGCTCGAATTGGTGATGGGTTGATTATGAGAGGACTTCCCACATACTCCAGCGTACGCCATATTGAACAACGGATGGTTGCCGTCTCGCTGAGAATGAAAGAACTGGGACTGAAGGCAAAAGAGTTTACAGACATAACACCGTGCCTATGTTTACATACCCAAGCAGCCTTCTGTGTCTAAGGGCATGCCGTTGAATTCATTTATGCAAACACTGTTGTAAAAGAACACTGGGGAAAAGCTAAAGTTCATTATGTGAGTAGGTTCCAAAGCAGCTGGGAAAAACATAGGAACCCGAAGGAGGGTGTGGAAAAAGAGTAAGTGTTCACAAGATATGAAATTTGGGGTCAGTTTATACATGCTCATTGGCAGTCTTTAAGCAGCGGCTGCACAACCACTTGTCAGGGATGCTCTAGGCTGATCCTGCATTAAACAGGGAGTTGGACTAGATGGCCTGTAGGGCCCCTTCCAGTTCTGTGATTCTATGCCTTCAGTCGTGCCTAAAACCTTAGCCTCTGCTGAGCAAAGTAGACAGCCAGTAGTAAGCTAGATGTAGGTGTGGCTGGACACAGTAGGAGGCAACGGCTTGTACTCGTTTGATCTCTTGTTACTGAATCACTCAGCACTTGGGCCTGGATCCCATTTTCAAAGGTTCTCACATGTGGTAGGCAGCTTTGTAGTCTTTGGCTATACATGGCACGGTCTTTACACAGCAGGCCAGAACAAGTTTATGGCCTCTTTGGTTTGCCTGTCAAAACAGAAACCTGTTACTTCTCTGGTTGAGAGGGAGGTGCTGGGGTGGTGTTAGCTGCAGGAGCACAGAGAATTCAGATTATCATCTTGGATAAACTGTGTTCTAAAAACAGGCTTTAGTTTGGTTGTGAAACACAGTTTGAGATACATATAAACTAGATATTGATGTGTGAGCAATCAAACAGTTACCCGTAGCCTTTTCTGAGGGATAATATTCAGGACTCACGTAGACTCAGCTGATACCATTTATTAAAAATAAAAGCTGGCAAAATTATTTGTTGACCCTCACAAAAACAACGGCGGTGGGAGCTGCTTTCCAGTGATAGTGTTTCAGTGTCCCCTCATTCCTCCAAGGATATTTTGGAGACAGCCCTGAAAACTGATCCATAACCAGTCTATTGGATTGGAAAGATTTCCTTTGCTATGCGGGAACATACTAATAATGTTGAAGTATTAGGAGGATTTGTCAGAAATCAGTGCAATGGCGGGGGGGGGGGGGGGGGGGTTTAGAACCCTCACCTTAAACCCAGTTGCTGCCTTTGGCAGTCACAGGAAATGTTTAAGGTTGGGGGGGGGGGTTGTAAAGTGAATCTTAACCATGCAGCTTTTCGTAATGTTCTTGCATTTCGTCCTTCACATGTGACCTGGGAGAATCCTGTTCATTTGTTGTAGTTGAATTGCATGAATTAATTGCTAAGTGGACAGTTAGGGAGCAGGTTAAGATGCGGATGGGCTGGGAGGCAAAGTATTATTGTGTCATGTTAATATGATGGTACGAATTTCACTGTAACCCAGGAAACACTACTGGGATGAATTAGCTACCCTATTTGTACATTTTTTGGTAGACTTCAGAGAAAAGTGGCTCCAGCACCCTTTCCTCTTAGGACTCTGACACCAGTACAGAAGTTAAACCATGTCCCCAAAGTTTAGCCGCCACCACTTAAGAGTTCACTTAATTTTTTTAAAAGCATCTGAGTAGAAAATAAATCTAAGCACTTTTGTTCAGCATAACCCTAAGCGCTGGAGGTTTTTTTTTACCCCATGAAGTACGAAACAGTGGTTTGAGAAACCGTTTTTAGATACTGTGGAGTGATACAGCCCTTCTTGACCACAACAAACAAAACATTGTGGGACATTTTTACCTCAAGATACATGGGGAATTTGGTTTGGGATGGAAATATACCCCAAATGCAGTATATGTAAGTTGCTTCAGAGGATATAAGTGGATGCAGTAGCAACAGCCAAGCATTGGTATCTGAAGATGGTAAGAAGTGTATTCGTTGATTTGCTGGCAACAGCCATTTTCAAACTCTCTACCATCAATCTTGTCACATTTTGATTCCACCGTTTGGCCAAGAAAATTCCTTCCTCTGTATTGTAGAGATTCCTGAGGCATGTCTTTTCATCTCCATTTTATCCTCACATCACAACAACCCTATGAGGTAGGTTAGTCTGAGAGAGAATGACCTACCCAGGGTCACCCAGTGATTGTCATGACAAGCGGGTATGCTAAGCAAAAATGCCTAGACTATCTGGGGTTTATTTTCTACTCAGGTGCTTTAAAAAAATAAATACCGTAGTCCAACTTAATATCATAGTCCAACACTCTAACCACTACATCACTCTGGTTCCCTTGAGGGAGTCCTTTCCGCTGGTCTGCCAAGGTACATTTGCATGTCTGCTGCAGAACTCTGTGCTGTAGAGAATCCTGCAGCATATTCCTGGGCCTACAAAACAGTGACTAGGCCTCACAGAATGGGCACTGTTTCCCCCTTGCCAATTCCCCTCTCCTCTTGCAGACATCTGGCTCCTCCTGCCATTTCTGGGGCGCCCCCTGTTCTCTAGGTATAGGGTTGCCAATTCCAGGTTTAGAAATTTCTGGAGACTTTGGGGGTGGAGGCTGGGGAAGGCCAGGTTTGGGGAGGGGCCTCAGCCAGGTATAATGCCATACAGTCCAAAGCAGCCATTTTCTCCCGGGGGACTGATCCCCAGATTGTAATTCCAGGAGATTTCCAGGCTGCCCTGGGAGGGGGGAAGGTGAGGAAGGCCCATTTTCCACTGGAGGCAACCCGTAACTTCCTTGTGGCAGTGCAGAGCAAGAGGAGATGGTAGAAATGCAGCAAATCTTATACACCAGTATCGATCTATTCATGTAGGAACTCCAAGACAAGCTTTCAAGGATTCTCTAGGGTTCCCTGGAACATAAGCTGAAAACCACTGCTTTGCAGAACTACCTTTACAGGCAGAAATTGAGAGCCGTTACTGCATGCTGAACACTTGATATTTATTAATTTATTGTATATGCTGTTTGTTAGATGGTATTCAAAGCCAGTGTGCAAATCTGTATAAATAAATATTGCCTCTCCATGGCAACACGTCTGCAGACTTCCTATATTCCGATCTTAGCTGACCTGCAAATGATTGAGGGGGTTAGAGAAACACTTTCCAACAGAAGCAGTTGTGCTCAGGTATTTTCTATAATCTAATCTATTCGCAAGAGGGGACACAAGTTATTAAAAAAACAAACACATTTCCCCCACGAGAGTCTTTCACTGAAATTAGGTTTTATATTACAAATCAAATAAAGTTCCGTGACTGCATCCTTCCTTCTATAATAATTACTAGAACAAAATATTCAATTAATTGCAACTGTTTGAATAAATCTTTTTTGAAAACAGAGTAAGAAAGATACCCAGGTCGACTCTGGCTGCAATCCTAAAGGCACTTTCCTGAGAATACACCCCACTGAATAACATGAGACTATGGCCCTTTCTGCACCTGTATTTTGGCTCAGTTTCTGAGCACATCCTATTCTTCTGTCCTACATTCCCTTCTGCTTTCACTTCCAGTTTGTGTCGGGGCTTTCTCTTGCTTCTGCATTGGTTTTACAGGAATCTGCATTCAGGTAGCTTCCAGCACACTGTTGCCCCACAGCTACCAAAACCCCTTTGTTCTCATCTGCTTTCAAAGCCCTAATCCTGTCTCAAGCACAATTGTTTCTGTGGGTACTTAAGTGCTGTCCACACTGCCCTCCCCCGTTTCTGCCTCTCTCTCTTTAGGTTGACGCTCCCTCCCCATTCTGTTTTCTTTCCCTCCTCCAAAGACAAAAGAGGACGCGTCCTCCTGTTCAGGCAAACTTTTAAAAACCCAGAACAAAGTTTGAATCAAGTAGCGCCTTTGAGACCAACAAAGTTTTATTCAAAGTGTAAACGTTCATGTGCAAAACACACTTCTTCTGCACTCGAAAGCTTACATTTTGAATAAAACTTTGTTGGTCTCAAAGGTGCCACCGGACCCAAACTTTCTTCTGTTGCTGCTGACCAACACGGCCACCCAACTGAATTTTAAAAAGCCAGAGAGAGCATAAGGAGGAACCAGTAAATATAAAGGGCTAGGGGATTCCCTGCTCCCAAATGTGTCAGTCTTGCATGTGTGGATCTGGGTTTCCCTCTCCCCTCCCCTCCTTTTTGCAGAATCGGGAGGGAGGGAGGGAAGGGTTGGGTCTGCAGTTACAAGTCTGGAAGATGTTTGCCTTTCTCTTCATCTTAGACAAAGCAGCCAGTTAGCTCAAAAAAGGCGGGCTGTGCTTGTAGATGCAGAATGCATAAAAGAAAACACAAATCAAAAACCCCGGGGGGGGGGGGGGAGGAAACAGTACAGAGGGAATGCATGCGTCTGCAAAGTCATCCCTTAAAGCTTGACTCCTTGGATTCTCCGGAGCAAACTGTCAGTGCAGAAAGGGCCATTCTGAGTCGACTTGCTTGGGATTGCTCCTGTGACACAGACTCCAAATCACTGTGCATTGATTCTTTATGCATAGCGAAGGCCCGGTTTGAATTACCTGGCATCTTTGCTGGTTTTAAATCTTTAAAGAAAGGCGGCGTGTGTGTGTGTGTGTGTGTGGAGTTACTCAGTGGCAGAGCGTCTGCTTGCCATGCAGAAGGTCTCGGGTTCAATCGCCACCCTCTCCAGTTAAAAGAGCCAGGTGCCAAGATGTGAAAGATCTCAGCCTAAGACTTGCCGCCAGTCTGAATAGTCAATACTGACTTTGGGGGACCAAGGATATGAGTCAGTATAAGGCAGCTTCATGCGTTCATGAGACTTCTCCGGGGAGAGAATGTGCAGAGGTGAGTTTTTCCTCCTCTCCCTCAACAGCTTCCTTTTGAAAAGCCACTGCTGGGGTTTGGGCCCCTCCAGAACAATATATCCCTGCAGTCTGGGAGGCATGAAGTACAAATGAAGAGTTGAACTAAATACTCCCCCACACACATTTTGTGAGCTCAAACTGCACACGTTGGAGGGGAGGGTTGTTGGGTGATAGTGAGATATTGAAAAAATTGTATTTAGCAGAGATAATATAGTCCAGCAGAGCCAGAGTAAAATAATTCAGACTGAGAGTCCATGTGTGATTAAAATATAAAGTTTTTACTAAATTCTAGCATGGGAAGGGTAACTGGGATGAAAATAACAACAGAGCATAATCGGCTACACCCTTACTCTACAAAGACAAAACTAGAAGAGGAGAGATTATGGCTACTCTTCTTCTTCTTCAGAACACCAAACGAAGGGAAGAGAGCCATAAAATGCTAATACACCTTTACACTTTAGTCCCAATCAAATCCCTAGATCAGGGAGAAAATTCCCAGGTTTCTTACAGTAAAGAAC